CTTTTTTTTTTTTAAAGATTTTATTTATTTATTTGAGAGAGAGAGAATGAGAGAGAGCACATGAGAGTGGGGAGGGTCAGAGGGAGAAGCAGACTCCCCGCCGAGCAGCGAGGCTGATGCGGGACTCCAGGATCATGACCTGAGCCGAAGGCAGTCGCTTAACCAACTGAGCCACCCAGGCGCCCCAACCACTAACTAGTCTTTCACTTAGTTTGCCTCTCACCCTTTAAAGCTGAGCCTTCCTGGTATAAGTACACTCTCCCTTTGAGGTTAGGCCTGTTTCTTCCAGAGCAGCCCCTGTTCCTGTCTTTCAAAGCTATTAAAACATGTCATTGTACTTACCAGTTCCCATTGGACTCTGCAAAACTCTGAAAATGGCAACTCTTCATCTCTCACCATGTTTGAGGTATAGTAGATGTTCAGTAAATGTTGAGTCTATGAGAAACTATTATTCAACAGATTACCAAAATAGATGTTTGTACTGTAAAAAAAAATGAGTAGTCAACATGAACCGAGTATACTTAAAACAATTTTGAAATGTAATATATATTGTTTTATGTAAGTATGGTTTCTTCTGATTTGGGTAATGCTGTGGAGTCTTGATGTTGTATGTGAAAATATTGTTACGAATTATGTGACACTATTGTTCTTTATTAGACCGGACAAAATACTTAAGTGATTCTGTTTTTCAATCTGTTTGATGTAGCTCATTCAACTGATTCTGAATCATCTTACACTACCAGACCTGTGTAGATTAGCCCAGACTTGCAAACTACTGAACCAGCATTGCTGTGATCCTCTACAATACATCCACCTCAATCTGCAACCGTACTGGGCAAAACTAAATGACACCTCTCTGGAATTTCTGCAGCCTCGCTGCACCCTCGTTCAGTGGCTTAATTTATCTTGGACTGGCAATAGGGGCTTCATCTCTGTGGCGGGATTTAGCAGGTTAGTTCCAAGCCTTGCTGTGCTCATTTTACCAGCACACGGTACTTAAACTGTTGAGTCGTTTCCGTAGGAAAAGTTTGAAAGTATCTACTGTATACTTTACAGAAATAAAAAAGAAACCCATTTTGTGTATCGTCACGTTCAGAATGCTTCTACTTATCAAAATGAGTTTCACCTTCCTCTTCAGCTAAACTTCACAATAATATGACGCAAAACTCTGCCCTTTCCCTCCAATTTTGTAAATCCCAAGTAACTTTCAGCAGACCTCCTTTTTTTTCTCATATTTTCAGCACAGATGATTAACACATTTTAAAAACTATTTCCAAATCAAAATCTACCTCTCTAATGTGATTTGTCAGAAATGGAAAACAATTTATTATAGAACATTTTTAATTAAATCTTAATTACATGTGCAATACATCACCCAAATTTAGAAGCTCATTTAAACTAATTATGTTGAAAATGCAATTGCATGCTAAGTAGGCGACCACACTTGCAGACCTGCCCAGGTGTTTCTGCTCCTTTCTATTTAAGCGTTTCGTTTTCTTACTATTAAATGTCACCTGTTAAACATTTGAAAGCTTGCACAAATGCATATTCATTTAGTAATGCCATATTAATTTTGCTTATGATACAAACAGGTGTTTTTCTCTTAACCTTGATGAGGGTTATTCTCATTGTCCGTTACAGTATAATCCCATCATTTCATTAAGTTAAATAATGAAGGAGTAGAAACTTTGGGGAAATTACCTGTTATTTTTGATTAATGGATCATCTTCTATTTGGTTTTTAGAAGTTAAAAATGAACAACAGCTTTCTCTTCACACATCCTCAGTGGATACATTCTTGAACAGTGGTTTATGAATTAGAAATTTGTATATTGAGCCTTGTTTTCCCTTGACTAGACTATAAAAATAAAGATGCAGTTCCAGAAATAAATATTTGATGCCATAAAATTCGGATGAAATAATAATTTTTGGGAGAATAACAGTGTGTTCAAAGTGCTAATATTGATAGTTTATGCAACAAAGTAAAAAATAAACACAAGCAGTAATGGCTTATAGCACATGTTGAAACCCTGGATACCCTGAGTTCCTTTCTTTCCCGCCAAAAATAGAGCCATAGAAAGGAGATCTTACATAAAACATTACGGTATTGTGGGTCAGAGAGTATATATCTATCTATCTATCTATCTCATGCTATGTGTACAAAATGTTTTCTGTTATGTAAATTTGCTTAGGAGATACCTAGGGTAAAAAAAATAGGCATTTCTTTTTTGGCAGTATGATTTTGGTGAATTTTTATGGAATCCACATTTTAAAAATTGCTGGACATTTGACAGCTATCCAATGAAACACAGCTGAATCCTTTCTACTTCCCCTTGCTCCCCCCACCCCCAGCCTTCATTTGAAAATTTTCCTCCCTGCTAATAGGACCAAGAAGGACTGAAGCTAATGATGATTGTGGGTGTTTAGAGCATGCACCGTGGCTCAAAAATCAAGACTAACTCATAGATAGAATGACTGGTGTCAGTAAGCATTATTTTACATTATAAGGACCTTTCAGGTTATTTTAATTCCTCTAAGAGCTCTTTCTTCAATATTTCCCACTACTCGGAATTTATTGTTTGTTTTCATCCTTAGTGTTTAAGAAATTATACTGAGTGTTGACTGTGTAAAGAAATGTTTAACATAGTTCCTACGTCAGGCTATAGGAAGAATAAAGATATAAACATGTAAACATCCTTCCTGTATTTTTATTAATAAAATAACAGGATGATAACTAATGAGTGTAGACTTTAAAGAAAACATTGGTAGTGAACAGCTGAAGTCCAGCTTCTTTGGCAAAATGTTGCATAAAACCATGATATAATGAGTAAAATGGAACAGTAGTATTAAATCACTGTTTTAAAACTCCCTTTGTTTCACTCATTCTGGTGCATGAGCAGAGGCATAAGTTGTGAGAAGAAAGTTTAGTAATGCTACTTTTTAAATTTTAGAATCATAATGGATAAAGATCTTCTTTTGCAAGATTAAAGCTCCAGTCTACTTTCTCACCAGCAATTTCTCTTCCATTTTCAATTCAGCCATGTTAGTTGCTGTGGGGCTGTTTGAATAATCACAAAGGTACATACATAAATTTAAGTTTTCCATATTTTACGGTAGTATTTCAGCCAGTGAAACTATAAATCTTGATAGCATTCCTTTAAGCATAGTCATTGTTCCCATGAAGGAAATAAAACATTTAAATACCAGGAAAAGAGAATTCTTTTTTTGGATGGGAGATACTGGAGTCTTGCCTACTGATTGCTGTTGGCCTCCTTGACTTGACTGCCGAATTGATAGTCATTATGGCTTGTAGGCAGCATTCCCAGAATAAACAATACATATTTATGTCTTGATTATTAATGAATAATCTATGAATAAGTATGGTCTATTTATGCTCATTACTGTGAAGAAGACTTATTTATAATACTTTAAAGAAAAAAGTACATTTTTAAACTAGAGACCAGTGATAATGAGCTGCTGTTGAGCAAGTCTCTGGGAAAAGTTTGATACAGTTTATTTTTGTTGCCGAAAAACCTTTCCTCACAGGTTGGAACTGTTTAACTGGATTTCAAGGAACTTTTTAGGAATTTATATTATTCAAAAGAGTGGGAAAATAGGTTGAATTGGAATAACAAGAACTTAAAAGTTTTAATCAGTTATTAAAATCCTATTCTATCTCCAGATTTGTGATTTGCAACTTCAAGTACTGCTCATGCATATCATTACTCATTAGAACCACATCTTTTATAATTCCACTTTTCTTTTATAATAGAGTTCCCTAGTCTTTGATATTTCTTTGCCCCCCACCCCACCTGTTTGTGCTTTGAGGCTTAATCGTATCACTCTGATGCTCAAAAAGCCTTAGGTTTATTTTTCCACTACTATTTTTCTTCGGATAGTTGCCCAAATTAATCACCTTGATCTCCACCTCAGTTATGTAGAGATTTTTACCCCTGACTCCTCTAATTGTTTCATTCAGGAAACATTCTTGGATGCTTTTTAGATACAAGAATTTTATTAGGTGTTTTGACACAGAGCTACAATTTTATGGGATAAAGAGCTTATTGCTTATTTGTTTGTTTATTCAATTGCCTACCTATGCTTTATACAGTTACCTCTTTTAGAATGTCAATTCCCAGAGATTTGAGGCAATTTTAAGACTTTCTTTCTCCTGCCAATAAGGAGTTTTGTTTTTAATGGCTTTATTTTGGATCAGATGTATTAAATAATGTTCCAAATTATAAGGGATTAAAGATTTATCTTAAATATGCTGTTTCATAAAACTCAGAGTCAGCTAATAAAATGTACTGGTAGGAATCAGAAGCCATAGACATTTATGTCTCATTCTCCCCTTCCCTTTTTCTTCCTTACCTTTATACATCAGGCAAGTTCTGAGGATTGGTGCCTTTTATTTTGATGAGTAAACTCAGATTAAATAATTTATTCATATGATTTTATTATTTTAGGGTGCAAGTTACCATGTAGTAAATTACTTCTTATGTGCCTATATTACTCTGGACAAATTACTTCACCACATAAGGATAAGCCATTTCTTTCTTTTCCCATAGCAAGAGACCTAGTTTAGGTCTTCTCATAATACCCTCAATATCAAGAAATACTTTATGAGAATTCATATCATGGAATGAAGAAGCTGTAGAAAATAAAGAAGCTGTAGTTCTCCTTTTAGGTGACCAGTATCACAATTGAGACAAATAAATAGATGACCAAGACAAAAACATGTATGTAATTACACAGTAACATAAAACTTACATGAGGAGCATTAAGGAAAGAAACAAGAGTTGTGTTCGGCTAATTAATTGAGTCTGCTACTACGTCTGCCTTCTTGAACTGCAGAGATCATGAAGAAGTAGGTAGTACAGATCCTATAAGTTTAGGAAGACACAGTATGGGGATATTAACTAAATAATCTGCTCAGAGTAAAAATATGCAATATAGAAAAAGAGAGGGAAAGTCCAAAAGGTACTGTAGGCATGATCATTATCTTTATTGTGCTTTCAAATTCTGTCATTCATTAAATCAATTTGGGAACTTTTCTTCTCTAAATTCTTTAGAGGAGAAAAGTTCAATAATGAGGTAAGGAGAAAAGAGATGTCAAAGTGTTGCAAGTATCAAATCAAAATAGAATAGTCTTTAGTTCTTTGAAACCCTACATCCATTCTAGGTTGCTAGCTTACAAAAATATGAAGAACTACCTATAACTACTATTTATACTCAAAGTTAGGTAAAATTGTTAATTTCATCATATTTCTTGGGAATAGTTTAACCCTAGTAAGGGGAAAATACCCTGAGCCCATAGAACTTAGTCTGTTCTGGAGTAGAGGAAACTTAAATTCTTCAAGTGAATTTTCTTAATTGGAAGATACATTCAGTAAACTCTCATCAAATGTTTTTTCCATGCCTGGCATTGTGCTAAGGATTGTGTATGCCAAAAATCTGTTTCAGTTGCCAAAGGATTTGAGGCAGCTTATAAATCTCAATAAAAACAAATTAGTAGGGAAGGACATTGTAGTTAGGAGGGAAAAAAATGTAGATGAGCCTGAGTTCAGTTCAGTATAGAGAAGGTATGGCATAATTTAGTATACATTGCCCACCTTTGAGATAGATCCAGAATCTGAATATTGAGCACCACATTCAGTGCTACCATCTGGATCCAGTGCACCATCTTCTCTTTCCTGAATATTTTAGTGGTGTCTTGACTGTCCCCCTATTTTTACTTCTCTTCCCCTTCAGTCTATTCTCTACACAGAAACCAGAGTGATCCTGCTAAGACACGAGGAGGTTGTGTCACTCTTATGCTCAAAACCCTCTGATGATTGAGAATGCCATCTCCCTCAAAGCCGAAGTGTTTATGGGACACACACTATATGAACTGCCTCTTAACCTCTCTGACCTGCTCCTCATCTGTCCCTCACTTCGTACCTCCTGGATTAGTCTCTTTACATTTCCTCACTCTACGTGGTATCCTGCCCCAGAGCCGTTGTGCTTGCCCTTCCCTCAGCCTGGAATGTTCTTTCCCAGATACCTGCTTTGCTTACTGCCGTACTTCCTTTGGGTCTTGACTCATCTTCTCAGTGAGGCGTCTCTGACCACCCTACCTACCCTTGATACTTCCTATTGCCCTTCCCTGCTTTTATTTCCTCCTCGACACTTTTCACTTTCTAATACACTATTTGTTTTACTCAGCTACTTATTTATAGCCTACCTCTCCTACCAAAATATCAGTAAGCTCCATGAGAGCCAGGACTTTGTTTTGTCCACTGCTAACTCCCCAGGGCCTAGAGTAATGCCTGGATCATAATAGGAGCTCAATAAATATTCGTTGAATGAATAAGTGAACATGCTTGATGCAAACCGCAGTTTAGCTAATTCAATTTAGCAAAGGTAACAGTAGCGAGACAGGTTGGAAGAAATCTGGGAGAGGGAGTAGCTTGAGGAGCGTCAGGGAATTTTAAGGAAGGGGTGGGCAGTTGTGTGAAATGCCACAATAAGTCAAGTAATTCAAGCACTGAAAAGAAAGGGCATTGAGTTTGGCATTTAAAAGGAAAGGGCAAATTTAGGGAGAGCAAAACACATATTGCAGTGGATTAAGAATAAATGGGTGTTCAGGTATAAATAAGATATGTGGGCAATAGTTATTTTCAACATTTAAAATAAATTTGTAGCAATTGAATTTTTTATTGTTGTTTGAATGTGAGTTGGCCAAGGTTCAACTTGTATTTTTATGTTTGTGGGGTGCTTTGACCTTTACCAACTGCTTTCACATAATGTTTGATGTTCAAAACCATGAGGCAGTGTGGTGAGTGTTGTTATGTAATTCTCGTCTGCCTTTTACAGCTGAGAAAGTGCTGAGACTTGGGTAAATGCCTTTTCCAAGGTCACATGCCAGGAAATGGAACAGGGCAAAAAATTAACCTTTTGACTTAGAAGTCCAGTGTTACTTCTTTTATTTTCATAAGGGATTGACTTAGTTAATTTTCCTTTATATGTGTATTTGGAAGCTAATTAATCCATTCAGGAAAAAAGATGTGGAGTGAATAAACTAACAGTATGTTACTGATGTGGCACTGTGATAGGCAAGAAAATGTCAAGAGACCTGGACAGGGATAATTGTTACAGTTAAGGGTTCAGTTTGCTTAGTTGATGAAGTTTCATAGATTCAAATATTCCTAGACTCACACTTACTTTTATATTATTTTCAGATGATGATTATAGACAGGACTGTCCTCCCCCATCTGTAATGCAACTACAATAAATATTGTTATTACCACTCTGATATAGAGTTTTATGTCCGCCATGTTGAATTACTTCTGTGTATTTATGTGAAGCTGCAATTGAATATCTTGTAATAATTTCAACATCAGTCTAGTAAATAGTAACAGTTTTAAGGAACATTACAATAGGACAGTTAAACCAGTTCAGACATTTCCTTAGTTGAGAGGAGGCTAGTCTGATTTATTTTGAGGTCATTTAATTAAAGCTTTCATCTTGTGTGCCATATTCAAAATAAATTATCCAGTACTGTATGCGTATTGTTTAGGGGGAAATACTTCTACTTCTAAGAGTTATGTTTTTGGTTTTTTGGCTGTACCAATTCAGATGTGAATTTTAGATAGATAGGAGAAATACATTCTCTACTTTCTTAATTTTTCACTTCACGTTAGCTGACTTTTTATATGATATGAATACATCTTATCATATCAGGTTGAATTATTTTAGCCTAATCATGCCTATTTTGGTAATTTAAGGGAAACAAGTTTTACATTTTCTGTAATAGAAATCCATTCTTCTGAAGGTATCTACTGAGAGTTGAGGTAACTCCAATGTACTTGCAAAAGTATCTTTTAGTTTTACAAAATTCACACAGAACATTGTTTTTACAGGTTTCTGAAGGTTTGTGGATCTGAATTAGTGCGCCTTGAATTATCTTGCAGCCACTTTCTTAATGAAACTTGCTTGGAGATTATTTCTGAGATGTGTCCAAATTTACAGGACTTAAATCTCTCATCCTGTGATAAACTACCACCTCAAGCTTTCAACCACATTGCCAAGTTATGCGGTCTTAGACGACTTGTTCTCTATAGAACAAAAGTAGAGGTAAGAATAATCATCATTTACATCTTTGCTAGTGTGATAGCTAGCTGAATATTTAGTTGCCTATAATTGCTCATGATAATATGCTTTCTGATTTTTAAATAGATTTGATGCCCCTTGACTATTCTAAAATTAATAGAGCTGATTCAGTCATTTCAAAATTATTTAGTCTATTGTATTGTTTGTATAATTATAGGAAAATGTTCTTCTTCTCTGTATTCTTAAAATTTTTGTAAGGTTGTTCATGTTTCCAGGTAAAAAAATAAGCAATGGGTTGAGGTGAGCTGAAATGCTGGCAGGGAATGAATTAGAGAAGGAGGTAGAGTGATAGTGTGCAGGATGGGGAGGAAGCAAAAGTGGAATTTATCCAGGGCTAGACTTAGGAGTTAAAATTCTCAATACCATGGGGCGCCTGGGTGGCTCAGTTGGTTAAGCATCTGCCTTAGGCTCAGGTCTGATCCCAGTGTCCTGAAATCGAACCCTGAGCCAGGCTCCCTGCTCATCGGGGAATCTGCTTCTTCCTCTCCCTGCTGTTGCGCTCTCTCTCTCTCCCCCTCTCAAATAAATAAATAAAATCTTAAAAAAATTTTTTTCCATACCATAGTTTAGGAGTCTCATTAATGAAAAATGGGATCTTGTCATTTATATTGATCTACTTGCTTGTTTTTGCATAGTATCTCTAGGACTTCTTTCGAGATCACTACATATAGCATTTGACTCTTTTCATTAACTGTGTAGTATAGGTTATACCATAATCTATTCAACCATTCCCCAAGTGATCAACCTTCAGGTTTTTCCAGTTGTTTTCCTTTCACAAATTATCTAGCAATAACATTCTTTTGTGCAGAGTTTTGCATATACATGCTGTTATTGCTGTAGGATAGAGTCCTGTAGGTGGTATTGCTGGATCAAAGAGGATGTGCCTGGGCCCCTGTAGTAAACACCCACTTATTGTCATATACTCCTTTCCTCTACTCCAGTCATGTTGACCTTCTTTCTATTACTTGAACATTCTGACCTGGTCCCAGCTCACAGCTCTTGCTTTTCTGCCTGTCTAGAATATTCTTCCAGCTTATTACGTGGCTGCCCTTTTCTTAGCTCAGTGTTCAAGTATTTTTTTTCTTCAGAGATCACTTTTTGGGTATTGATAAAAAGGTAGCCCCCCCCCTTCTGGTTTGTTTCTTTCATATCATCCAGTTTTATTTCCTTCTTAGCATCTGTATCACTCTGAAGTGATTTTGTTTTCTTCCTAGTATCTGTCTCCTTATACTGGGATATAACTGTCATGAAGGTAGGAGCCTTGTATATCTTTTTCATTGCCGTATTGCCAACATCTAGAATGGTCCTTGGTAAGATTGGTCATTTGATAAATATTTATTAAGTGAATGAATAAGATAACCAAATTACTTTTCCAGAATGGTATGCCAGATGCTTTCCTGCTATGGTGAACCCTTGACTATCTTGAATTTTACCTTAAATACCAAGGTATTTTAACCTCTGGTATTTCAGTTTTCTTTTCTCTAAAATGGATAGAATAAAAATACATATCTCAGGGTCATTGTGAGAATTAAATTACATGTAAAGTGTCTAGAGGGTGACTAGAACATAGTGAACTCTCAATAAATAAATGTTAGTGCTAATAGTATCATTGTGGCCGTTTTGTAGTATGTTTTACTCTATGGTAGGGAAACTCTCATCTCCATTCTCTTTAAACGTTTTTGTTAATCCTTGTATATTCTTCTTCTAGTTGTATCTTTCGGCAAGGATTTTATTAAAAGTACATTATATTTCATTTTGCTCTTTAATAAGGCTTCCTATCGTTCATGTAGGCCTTGTTTTACATCCAAGAGCATGTTATAGTTTTCTTCACTTAGGTCTTATATCCTGGTTAAAAGATTTATCTTTTGCATTTTATAGTCTCAGATACTGTTTCTTCTCTTTAATTTTGATTGATTATTGTTAGTTTAGAGTTTATTGTTTTTTGTATATATATTTTATATCTGCTCACCTTGCTGAATGCTCATAATTGTTCTAATAACTTTTTACTTATGTCTTTTGGATTTTCTCATGATACAATTATATAACCTCAAAATTAATACGCTTTTTCTTTCTTTTTCAATATTTAAAGTGTTGCTTCATTAGATAGAACTTAATAAGTAATGTGGAATAATAGAATCATAACAGATACACCAGTCTTATTTTTAATATAGTGGGGATGTCTTACTGTTTCATTTCAAAAATATCTATACAACAAATATTTGACTACCTATTATGTGCCAGGCACTGTTTTAGGCACTGGAACTTTAGTGTCGAATTAAACAGACAGCTTCTAATGCAGCTTACTAATTTTATATGTTGTTTGATGTTGCTTTCTGCTAAGTAGTTTTTATCATTCTTGTTTGATTAAAAATATTTTATCAAAAATGTATATTATTTTTAAGCCTCCATTAACATTCATCTTTTTTCTTCTTTTACTTAACAATATAATGACTTATGTTGAATAGTCCTTGCATCCCTACATGTTTTTAATTTAATAAGAACTAGGTTAGTTTCCTAATATTTTGGAGCCGAATTGCCTGAATTTGAATTCTAGCTTTATCACTTACAAATTGTTACCTTGAGGAAGTTTCTTGACCCCCTGTGCTTCAGCTTTCCCTTCTATAAAATGGAGATAATAACAGTATGCATCACAAAGAGTTGTTGTGAGGCTTAAATGATTTAATATACATGCCGTGTCCATAACAGTGTCTATAATAAGTGAGATTGAGCTGTGGTTTTCCTTATCATGCTATTTTATCAGGTTTGGGGCTAGGATTGTGACAGCATAGCAAAATGATTTGGGAAGCTCCTGTTTTTCTCTTTGATCTGGCATAACTTGAATAGATGGAAATTACCTGTTATAGAATTTACCTATAAAACCATCTGGATATATAGCCTTTTTTATTGGTAGATCAGAGTATATACCTTTTTACAGACATGGTGTTTTTTCTAATCTTTGGAAGCCTGAGTATGTGAGTATAAGAGCTTCTGTTTAATACAGTTATTTTCAATTTGGGGCAAAATGTTTAGCTAGAGTTTAACTGGTGACCTAGTATGGTAGAAAGGAGACTGATTCTAGTTCTGGCCCAGTGAGAAGCTTAATGATCTAGGGTGAGTCACATAGTCTCTCAAATTCCCAGATTTCTTTGTAAAATGAAAGGGCTATTGTCCCTGAATGCCAGCTTAAAGATAATATTAGCCCATGTTTTCATTCATCTCTCGTGAAATGACTTACCATTTGTGAGTATAAAATCGTCAGCTATCTTTTCTTGGGTAGGTCTGTCCATTCTTAAATTATACCATATCTTATTTTTATTGGTATTTTTACTGTTTTATTGGTCTATGTACTATAAACTCTGAGATCCTTTGAGCAAGATAATGCCTCCTTTAAAAATTTTCTGGTTAAATTTAACTTTAAGGAGAAATATAGCAAAGTTAATTATTAAATAAATCATCAGGAAGAAAAATAGGGTAAGAACCAAGAAATTATATTAACCTGCTAGGTACCTTACATCTGTGATGATTTTTAAAAAAAATATCCCATGGTTGGTGCCTGGGTAGCTAAGTCGGTTGAGCCTCTGCCTTCCGCTCAGGTCATGATCCCAGGGTCCTGGGATCGAGTCCCGCATCAGGCTCCCTGCTCAATGGGGAGGCTGCTTCTCCCTCTCTCTCTGCCCCTCCCCCTGCTTGTGCTCTCTCTCTCTCTCTCAAATAAATAAATAAATAAATTCTTAAAAAAAAAATATCCCATGGGATGCTTTTGAAGTGATCTGTATTAACATGGTCTAGGTGTTAGGAAATCATTAAGTGATCCAGTTTTCTTTAATTTACCTTAAGAAACTGATAGAATATGACTATATATTTCTGAAATCATTTTCTTTTTCTTTTTTATTAATTTCAGGTATACAATATAATGATTCAACAATTCTGTATGTTAGTACTCATTGTGTTAAGTGTACTGTTGATCCCCTTTTTCTGTTTTACCCACCCTCCCATTCACCATCCCTCTGGCAACCACCCAGTTGTTCTTTGTATTTAAGAGTGTTTTTTTCTTTGTCACTTTTTTCCTTTGTTCATTTGTTTTGTTTCTTAAATTCCACATAAGAGTATATTTTTTAAAGTTTGATTTATGAAAGACTGAGAAGATTTCCTATTTCAAGAGTGGAGATCTATACATATGTATCTAAATCTAGATAGCATCAGCTCCAGCTTCTTTCAGTTACTTCAATATAGATGTAAAATTATTGTATGAATCCATTAAGTAAAATTTGTATTGTACACTATGTTACTACCTCTTAAAGTTTATTTTTATTAGTACATCTGCTAAAATATTATAAAAATAATCTATAACTTTGTTTTATACAGTTCTTCTGACATTGAATATGTAAAAAAATCATAAAATTAAATTTTAATGATTTACAGTTGACATACAATAAAATAAAAAAATAATGCCATTTCAGTGATATACAAGGGAAAATCCAAAATTGGGAAAAACACAGGCAGTGTTTACTTTCACTGCTTCTCAAGTCTGTATTCAATGCTCTTTACGTATACTCTACTCACTTCTATTGTCCTCTCCTCCTTGGGCTCTATATCAGACACTGACGTGGGTACTAAGCAGCTCACAGGAATAAAGGGAGAAGGCAGCATGATCAGCTGGTCTCTTTTAACAAGCACAAGCTATAACACCGGTATTCATATCAATCTGCAAACACTTCCCTCTTCGCTTAAGCAAAGCATTACGTCACCCCTTCTTTCTTCCATGCATGTACATTTCCTATCCTGCACTCAGTGGTGTCGGTGGATGAAGAGCAAACAGAATAAGAAGACACGATCTAGGGGCCTGGCTTCTCTCTAAGCCTTCCATGTAATCATTGGCAGTACATTCAAATCTTATAAACTGTTTTGAAAAAAGGAACAGCAATTAATCTTAAATGCCTCTGTTTGCTCTAAGGAAATATGTA